ACCCCAGGCCCATAATGGCTAACATTATTCCTTTGATTCATGGTGTTAAAACATGAGCGAACTTACTGGGCATGTAGCCACAAGTCAGGCTACACCTCTTTATTAAATAAAAGAAAAACTTGTCAAACAAAAATAATGTATTTAGCTGTTTACTGACACTAACAATCATAGGCTTTGAACATCTCTTTTGTAATTAGGAATACATTTTTTTTAATTAAATTTATTTAAGGCAGGAGATGCACGAATGCGTACCCCCCATCCGTAGCAACAAATAATGACTTACGCTATCCCACTTGGAGATATCTTAAGTGGGCGCCCCTCCTAACTGCAATGGAGGTCATCAACCTAGGTCATGCCTTGATCGCCCATTGACCCCGTCCAGGTAAGTTGTAACTACGAATACATTTGCTATGATTGTAGCAGTAAAGTCATAATACAAATAACCGCATCAGTCAGCAAGTATACAAAATTGAAGCTCATCTTCATCACTAAAAGTGTGCTCAGCTTACTTTAGTCCATCACCAAGACCTTGTGGCATTCCTAGACTTTGGGCGAGATTACTCATCCTCTCTTTCATCGCCTGCAAAATGGCAATGCCTAATTTTACAATTCGGCAAGGAAAGATTGATATGCTAGTTTTATTCATAAGACAAAAGTCCTTACCTGAACACTCTTTTGGTGTGCATCCTTGTACGCTTCTGTAACCAAGAGTGAAAGCTTCTGTACCGAATATAGTATGTCAAAAAACGGAGATCATCTATATGTCAATTATAAGGAAATGTAAGACTAAGATCATTGTTTCAATGTAATTTCAAAGCTTACAACCAAAAGATTTTAATGTGGGGTTAAGACAATCTCTAACCATAACTGTGAAGGCAGATGTCAAACTCAAAACCTTAACTATTCCAAGGATCCACTCCATAGGATTTAGATTTACTTACAGCACTCACCGGCTAGAAAGAAATTGTCAACAAAACTTACAGATTTACTGTTGGATCACATGGAAATACTTATGGGACCAACCAGTTAAACAAAGCTCAAGGTTGTATGCAAAACGTAAATCCTAACCCATATATAAGTGGTTTTCACATATTTGGGTTTTAGGTTTGAAATTTTTTGTAATGGGTGGGAGAGCAAACTGGTGAGCAGTGATAAATTTATGCAAGTTTGGCAATGGGTTGGAGATAGTATAAGAAAAGTGACAGTTCAAGACTTCAAGATGCTGCCTGATATTTTATATGAAAACATCAAAAGATACTTAGATTCAATTCAACATAATATCTTATTTGAAATAGGTCGAAAGAGACGACTGGTGAAGAAACTAGTTCGACTAAAGAAGCAAACCATTCATTGGCACTTATGACATGTCTGTATAGATCTTTGCACCCAAATAAAACTACTCGACAGAGAAATGCTGAACTACAAAGCTGTAATTCATGTAAGATTTAACGTGCAAGCAATAGTGAAAGATAGTCTTCCCAAAGCTCTTAAGGTGCTTTCGGTGAGCCTCACAAACAGGTCTGTGTGACATTGGTGTTTCTAATAATTATGTATCTACAGGCAAGGCTAGATGCATTAGTATCGTTGTATAAAGTGTAAGCAAGGGGAACAATGGTCTGTACTTGTGTTCCATGGAGTGTTATGTACACCTCAGGTTGACAGGATTTACACATAAAAGCCTTCCAACCCATTGATAAGGTTGTTAGCACACAGAGGAAAGATGCAAAGAGAAAGGCAGTCTAGCCACTTTGACTATGGGCCCCAGACAAAGCTATTTGCAGAAGAGATACAGAGAATCATATAAATTGTACTTAATTCCCAACTAAGATAATTATTCTTGCATTGTAAATGAGATAGTTAACCATTCCTTATTTCAAGATTAGGCACTTTCAACAATGATGGACCGGTAGATTTAGTGAAATGCAAACTCATGCATGCCAACATTGTTCAGAAAATAGTTAAATGAGTAAAGTGATTTTGCAGTAGGGGCATGAATCAAGTCTTGGTTTCTATAAATATTTACGACCGAAAAGAAAAAGTTCCACGTTGGCATACAATACCAATCTCTAAAGTGATAAAACAATACTACTTCCATTTTGATAAGTCATAGCAAAACCTTTTTCTAGACAACTAGGACTTGTCCAAGCCACGAATTACAAGCCTTAGGACAGCAATGCCACTCATTATCTAATACCAGCATGTTGTTTTTTACTTTTTTGGTTTAAAGGTATTTTTTAC